GCCTGATCGTAAACAAACCATTCAGTGTTTATAGAAAGAACGTTTCTTTCGTTCAATTAATTTGCATATTTTGTCTGCTTTAGACGACGCCGAGTTTCAAATCGGTCTTGAAATATCGCTAAATACTTCATGATTTTCGGTGTTTTCATCCGATCGTCCATAAAGACAGATTCTGAATTACCTGTCTGTTAAGAACTTTAAAAGAAAAATTACTCTTGAAAGTATTCGCCGAATTAATGAGTGTTTTCGCGCTCCTGTTCACGACTATGTTTGTTTGGGTAACATGTAAAGACGCATTCAAACATCAAACTTCAATTTTGAGAAAAATTGCGGTCAACAACGAAAGTCAGCAACGAATATGCCTCCGATCAAAAAGAAAACTTTACTTAATAAGTAACCTCTTTAAGAAGTGCCATATTACTGCACTCCGTTGACGGACCTCTGCGTACTTTGCATTTTTGTACGGTAAGGCCAAGAAGAGATATTTGTCGTTTTTCCTGCTTCTAAACAATGCTAATATTATTCTACCGTACACGTAAGAACATGCATGTCTTTATATATGGCGGCAATTTCCACGGTTTTTGCTTGCCTTTACACTTCGTTCTGCAATTACGAATGCACGGCAGAGTGCCATATAAATACATATATTTTGCTGAAACTATTAACGTTTTGTTCGTTATATTTTTCTGAATAAGGTATGTGCAGAAGCCAGACCGCGCGACAAATAATGTTTCATATGTGTAAAACTAGAAATGACCATTCCTTTATGGTCATTTCTGTGACATCCCGCAAGATTTTTCAAACGGAAAACAATTTTAACCCATTTAAACGAAGGATTCCCTGTGTGCGTTATTATTGCACTTTAGGACATCAAATCGCACAGCAATGCCAATAGGATTCCTAAAAATCGGGAAAAGCCGTTGGTTATCTTGAAATAACTTTTGTGCGAGCAAACTGACTACCACAACTAGTTTAGGCCAAAAAAAATTTCTAGGTCCGATTACTTCTGTTTATTGAAACATTCGCGGTTAATATACCAACCTTTCCATGAGAAACCAGCTCAGATGCCTAACCGAAGTTCAGGACAGGTATTAACATAGGAAATTTCCCGAATATATTGCAAAGTCCATTTTTGCCAAACTTTATTAATATTTTACTTACCTTAATTACGTAAACACAGCTCCTGTACAAGAAATGGACATTTCACTGAAGGAAGTGGGCGAGCAAACAAAATGTGCAACGTTAGACACTTCCAAAAATTATCACATCAGCGTCCGTTTTCAGGTTTTGTGGGATAGGTCACGTACTGTACTTCTTTCTAATTGGAAAGGCACTTTGATATGTTGGTCACCTATTCACGAGATAGGTCCTTTATGTTTGCGATTCCATTGCCTCACGTTTTCAGTGCCAGACGAGTGGGCCCAAGCGTTATCAGCTGCAAAATCGCCTCTGAAAAAGTATCATAACAAATTTTTACGGAGGCTGCTGTTTTGACAGACACAATGAACGACAGCGCTTAGCCGCTATCGCTGCTGCTCGAAAAACATTAAATTTTTGGATGATGGGTTTCCATTTCAGATATTCGGAATGGTATATTTAAAGTTTATTCTCCGATTCACTATGACTACTGAAATGGTTGGCAGTGATTAGAGCACGTTTACCTCAGGGAGAGCCACATTTCGACGCAACCAAAGTTTTGATGAAAGATCCCAGCGATCGTGTCTCCTTCTTCAAGACTTCCTCCTGGGATTCGTCCTTCGCTCCTAGATAATGACACTGTTGACAAACTGATATAAAATAACCGTCCCAAGATAAACTCTCTATCCTAATTGTACTGCGCCAGCGCGGAAACCCCTAGCGCAATTCCAACCCCATTATTGGATACTGCTTATAATGTCATCGAAAACGTCGTCAGCTAACCATCTACCAATAACATCCTCTGATGCCGACATGCGCACCACTGAAATATGCATCTCTTGTCTCATCTGAATCACTTAAGTTTCGAACTCTGCCGGTATAACCATAAATCATGATTATTAAATTTTAGCTTTCACGTTTCCGTGCAAAGCTACCGCGTTTTCCTTTTCTGTAATTTTATGGTGTGCGAATAAGCGGCGCGAGCATATTTTCCGACGTATCACTTTCGAGACAGAAAACTAGACGTCGGTTGACCAAGTAATGTCAATGTATCATTTTAGACGGCGATAACCAAATACACAGTTCTGCGCAAAGAAAGTAAATCGCAAACATGGGAGGCTATACCGGCGGGAATAGTTGTCTTTCGACCTTTACGTTAAGGACCATCCTCAGTCATGTTAGAGTTGATTAGTGACTGTGTCATCACTAAATTTTGCCGATCATAGGTGCTGGCCGATAGGGAATCGGCGCTCGGCAAAGCAAAGTTTGCGACTAGGCAAATTCTCGCGTCTGAATATTAATCCATGGAAGACCATCAACAAAGCCGACACCGCAGCGCAGAAGCCTGAAGTCTGACACGCCGAGTGCCCTATTAATTACCACGAAGCCAGAGCGAATGTTCTACGTCGGTCTCGACGATGTCCACCGTGTGCTCCAAGGACGGTGACTTGTGCGTGAGGTAGTTTATAGTGATAGTAGACTTTCACAGCGTCTACCGCACTTTCTCCTCCCCACTCCCAACCTGGACCCGGTTTCAAGACAGAGTCAAGAAGACCGGAAGTGGGGGGAGGGCGAAAGTGGCTGGCATGGATGGAGCCGCACCTAGGCACACCACCACACCCCCTGATTCCCAGCATACACTTGACCAGGATTTTTCATAAACAACAACAGCAGCACCCCAACGGGGGTCAGAAAGGCGAGGATGATGACTGGACAGCCATGCGCACACCCCAGTGGGATCGCGAGCGCATCCACCGACTGGGAACCGTGTGTAGGGGAGCCGCGAGTGCATACCAGGTTGTGATAGTCATGGTTTGTTGATAGTGGCATTGCCCACTTTTACAGACCTTTTAACCGCAAAGCCAGGAGAGTGGCATGACGATGTACCTACCGTGAATGACCAGTAAATCAATTACCTTCCACCACCGCAGGCAGCCTCATGCATCTGATCAGACTTTGTGTTTTATATGCATTCAGTGCTACTATCAAAGGCATGCTGCCGAATCGAACTTTACTGACAAATGGTAGCTATGCGATAAAATTGTTCCGTCGGAGATTGACACTCTAAGTACGCTCCTTCTGCGCAATTCATATACGAGACGCGCTAATTTTTAAAAACCCCACCTACATTTACTCTTATGAATTTGACGAAAACCGAGTTATTCTCATTGCACGACAGAAAAGATCATTCCGCATTTTTCCCCTCGAAGCTGAATGGCGAGGAAACACTCACACAGTTTTTGCTCAACTGACAATCAATAAGTGAGTAGATCTTACCGACGAAGTTGAAATGACGCGAGCCCGTTGGCGCAGTTGTGAAATGATAAACTGATTCAGGTTTCGATTCTTGGGATGTGCAGTCCTAGCCTCAAGCATCATTGGCTAATAACGGCCAATAAGCCAAAAATGGCCATCCCAGCGACCCTGTCCTTGAAGACAACCAATTCCCAGCTGTTAGTTGGTACGCATTGGATGAGCACCAATCAGCTCCAATACAAAGTGAAATGCTCTTTCCAGTCTTTTAATGAGAGTACGTTGGTCCTCTGAATGAATACTGCCACCTTTAACAAACCCGACTGGGGCAGCCCGGGATGCGGTCGTCACAGGCTGGTGACTACAACTAAACCAGAAGCAGACATTGCATTGTCTCCGTTATCGTCAGGAAAACGTTCTCCTGGGACTGATAACCGCAGTTCTGTAGATAAATAGCCATCTCAAAAGCCATTTCTGGCTTATGAGCCGTCGTCAGCTAGTCATACCCAATGGCGAGGTGTGGAAAACCCGGGGCTCGAACTCGCGACCTGTTTATAGAAGTCAAACGTTTCTAACCACTGAGCCACGGATTAGCTGTCCTATGGGTTTCGATCGGGAATATGCGATTATAGAGGGACGCTCACCAACCATTCTTACGGACCTTACTCAGTCCGCCATGCCTCATGGGTTTCCTATAGAGCCCAACCAGCAGCCTCACAGCGGCGCATGATATAGGCAGAATTTTATTACCGACAAAGAAAAGGGAAGACTGAAATGTCCATTTCTGGCTCATAATCCTTCAAGTGAGTTCCGTGAGAACGATCGGCGAGCGCCTCTCTACCATTTGGAGCAACGTTATATTCTTGATCTCGCCTTATATAGGAATGGACAACCAACCTAATGATGCTGCACACTTAGGCGTCGAATCTTACAAAATCTTGACCGCAGGTTGTGAAAATGTCCTTTTATTCAGGAATGACAACTTATATTTTGTCAGGTCGAAATCTAATCTGTGCTTGGCCTCCATACGGGGAATTTATTCACTCATCAACAGCCGTGCCACTTTTTAAATGAGACATTGCTTACGTCAGGAAACACAAATTACTACGAATGCGTGGTCGATAAATGCAAATCCTGCTGTTTCACATAACTCACAGTCTAAATATCGTTCCTCTTTGGTTTTAAAATTAAATCAAAAATTAAACACTGTATTGAGTCTAAAGGATGTTTATTGGCCAGCTAGCACGGGTGCTTACTAAAAGCCCAGACAAGTCGCTCACCGATACTACGCTGCTGCGTGACGTAGCAGCGAGTAATTCCCAGCGTCCCCCACGTGTTTTTCCACACATGCTCTGAACTGAATCTGTGAAGATTTGCGCCAAAATATTTGCTCCAAGTTCATACATTAATTTAATAGCTCACGAATGGAAGAGAATATGCGCACCCCAGGCTCTTGTTTAAAAGATGACGAAGCCACGATCAATGGGACGGCAGATTTATTGGCCTTAGCTTTCGAACTCGAACTGGAGTTCATCATCAGAGACTGCTAGAGTGCAGCAACGTGTGAACATTTATATCGTGTCGTGAGGAGTGGGAGACTACGTCCAGGGTTAGGTCTGGTTTGTCCCGCCTGGTCCACAATGGTCCTCTGGCGTGGTGACGCCGTTTGTACTTTGCGGCGATGTGAGCTGCGCAACTTGGCTGCGTGGGCGGAGCGCATGATAACACGCAGGCAAATCAATGTGTCTATTGATAGAGTTGGTATCCGGCACCCGAACCTCCAACATTTCTCGCCCCATCTTGTTGTCGTCTCGCGCCAATATCCGCGTGTTGGCGAAGTCGAACTCATGGCCTTCCTCCAGCGTGTGAGCGGCGACTTGAGATAGTGGGTCGCCTCTCCGAACGGCCCGTTTGTGCACCAATGGGTGGTCGCTATGATAGATGAGGACCTGGGTTATATTGGTCGCCTTTCTGTACACTGTAATGCTGAGTTTACCATCAACTTTGCGCGTGACGAGCACAGTAAGGAAGGGTAGTTTCTCGGCCTCCTCGTTTTCTCTTGCAAACTGAATGCCGGGGAGGATGCTGCTAAGCAAGTCATGGAAACCCGATAGACTGTCCTTTCCAATAATGACGAATGTATCATCCACGTATCGACGCCAAAACACCATTAATCAAATGATCCTGGAGGATTGTAGGTTAATTAAGCACGAAATTCTGCAGGGGCAGTCAGATAACTGTGTCAGAATGGTTGCATACCATAAATTGCAGTAGACTGTGCAGGTAAATTTCCTAAGATGTGATTAAAATCAAGGCCCCCGGTGGGGCCTTGAGCGTTGGCTGTTCTCAGGCCTTCCTCAAGCCGTCGCCGGTTCGAATCCCACATAGGCCGCTGCATTTCCCACAATCTGGTTTGAAGCAAGCAAGAACTCAAAGGGCAACTTGGCGAACATACGTCTGCTTTCGATAAATTCTCTTCAGGCCTGTGCATTGACATAATGAATCAAAAAATACGGACAAGTAGTCCCAAGAATGACCTATCTAGCACCAATGTTAACCGTTACCCAAACCTTAACCATGAGCTCTAAACAAGCCAATTTAATGCCGACAACGCTATTGGAAGTCAAAATCCACTTCCTACATGACCCCTTTCGAGACCTACTGCCGGGGAAGCAGTAATGAGGCCCATCTAACTAAGTAAGGTAAGAAAGCAAGCTTTTGATCAGCCACTCAAGGAGGTTGCATAACCAACCCCTGACCCAGTCACGCTACGCGAACCGGTCCTATACGCACAAAGGAACTTCATACAGGTCCTACGGTTGCCATTGTCTAAAGCCACTAAGTCACTCACCCGCATATAATTACCTTTCCCGGGAGCCACCCTCCCCCTGGCGCTGATTGAAATTTTGCTGTGTCACTTTCCCCTCCCCCCAAACCCGAGCTACAGTACAATTATCAGTTCGCCCGTATCTTTACATTCATAGCTATATAAATGTACAGGCCTGAAGAGAATTTATTGAAAGCAGACGTCTGTTCGCCAAATTGGCTTTCTGAGAGCAAAAACCTTGACATAGGTGGCTTTGGTTGCTCCCCATGTATACCTCAGAATTTCCGTACGGCGAAACTGATACCCTGCGGACCGGCATTCCTATTGACACATACAAACGCCGGCTCTGCTTCAAGAATCAACTGCCAAACCAAATCAACTACAAAATATGAATATCCTCATTTATGTATCACAGGTGGTGATTCCTTACTTCCATGCATTTTTTCCCTTAGTATTCACGACCCTCTCATAATTTTTCTAACTCTCTTCGCCCATTTGACAGGATGCTACTAAAGAGTACACATGCCTGACGTACTTTCTGTCGTTTCCCAATTAACGACCCACTCGAACTGCAGAGGGTGAAGTGCGAAATTGGCGGAACTGTCAGTCCCTCAGAACGCACCGGTTTACTTTGATCGCCTGGTCAGCAGGAACTGCGGAAACACGGCTGATTGATGAAAAAATCGCTCTCGGCTCCCCCCGATTTCCTCACTAGTCGTCTTCAACCCCAGCAACAGTAGCGGCGCTAGTAATTGTTAAAACTGCACTGCCCTTTCCGGTTGGGATGCAAGTCGGACGATTTTATGACTTTACAGCAACAGCAGCAGCTGCAGCAGTAGGGTTCGAGGGTGGTTGCGCCCTCGGCAGGACGGCCGCATGCGCCAACTGGCAACACCAAGTATGTGAGGGAAATATCATCAGAGATGGTCGCCGCCGCCGCCGCCACCGCCCTGTTACAAACACCCTGCTGCTGCTCCTCCGCTGCTGCTGCCGCTACCTCCCCCAGTCCCACCGCCCCCCCCCCTTCCAACGCGTCTGATGTGTGTCATGTGCCTCTTCAGCAGCTCCTCCCCCCGCGCGCCTAGTGCAAATCATCCCAACAGCGCGCGCGATTAGTCATCACGAAGGCCTCGTGCGCGCATGTCATCATGCCGGGGGCGGGGGTACGTGCGTGCGCGCGTGCTCGCGCGGACACTCCTAGGTGTTACGTGTCGCGTGAAAGTGTGTACAGTAAGACCGGGACACAGATCGGAATCTGATTGGTCGGTCGGATTAAATTGGGACTGGGCACGCGCATGCGGACGGACAGGCACTGACGACGGCCGCCGGCTTTTAGTTGGGAGGAGGGCGAGGGTGTGCCGATCTAATCGATGGCTGCCCGGCCGAGGGTAGG